ACTTGTAATGATCTGCAGTGCAAAATCACAGACAGAGAACTCTGAGTTTTGCCGCTGGAATGTGTTCCTTGGCCAGATTCCCGCCTTCTACTGAGATTTCTAAGTCTGTGTGTGTGCGTGCTTGGTAGTTTCCATGTGCTTGTCTGAGTGCATGATTGCTTGGGTGTGTGTGTGACCGACGAGGGTTGTTGAACGTTTTGGAAGACCCTTGGGCGTGGTACTAAACACTGTAAACAGTGGCCGTGGATTTGTGGGTTGTAGCAGGGTGTAGCCGTAGGCTAGGCCCGTGTGGATGGAAACACTCAAGTAGCGGGTAGGTTATACCCACGTAGGTAGGAAAATACTGGAGTCGCGGGTAGGTAGATCGAAAATGACAAAAACTTGAAATCAGTCCCTTCAGCTAGCTTGGTTGGTTTAGAGATAAGGTCAGTGCCTATCCCGTGAACGTGACCGGCACCGGTCACTTGAACGTGACAGGCCGTTCATTTCGGCACCGGTCACTTGAACGTGACCGGCCGTTCATTTGGTGTTTTTTTTGCGAACGGCCGCTCACCGTGAACGGGACGACCACTAAAGAGTGGTGTTTTTTTTTTTTTTTTTTTTTTTTTTTTTTTGGGCTCCCCCAGGTACATTCGCCTCAAGCCCCACAGCGTGATGACATTGAAAAAATTAAAAAAAAATCGAAATGACCTACAAAATAGCAAACGAAAATCCTTATTTTGGCTGGTTGATTTTTGTTTTTTTCGTTTTTAATTAAAAAAAAAAATATTAGTGAAAAACCAAATTCGAAAAAATTATAAGGAGTTACCCTTCTATGTCCCTCACCCTCCTATAAAAAAAAAAACATATCCCCCCAGCCAAAAAATAATAATAAAAAAATATCGCGCTCCGTGAACTCCATGAACTCCCGTGTTGTGAACTCCGTGAACAGACCCCGTGAACGGTGAACGGGGTTACTGCACTGGATAAGGCTAATGGAAGGGCCAAAACTCGGGGAGTTTCACTGCATCACCACAAGCAATGTCGTTGAAAATTTCACGAGCAAACAATGGAGGCTCATAATACAAACATCGAAAAACAAACAGGCAAAAAAAAAAAGTTAAAAAAACTGGGCAGGGCCGAGGGGGTAGAACGGGGGTTCCACACTTTAACCTGTGAGAGAGAGAGAGAGAGAGAGAGAGAGAGAGAGAGAGAGAGAGAGAGAG